TGGAATTCCTGTAGGCAGCTACTGGGAGAACACAGCATGTCATGCATTGGATTGGTGAGGGAAAAGTTTAAGGTATAATGGAGACCCAGGAAGATGGAGATGCCAGGAGCTTACAACTTTTACTGAGGAAAACTCTCCCCTTCCCTCTAACATTCATTTCCATCCCTCCTTTCTCCCTTCTTTTTCTCATCTCTCCTCTCTTCCCTCTCCTCTCATCTCTTCCTCTATTCCCCTACCCCCTCTTCCTCCCTTCCCCTTTTCCTCCCCCCTACTTTCCCCTTCCCCCTTTCCCCCTCCCTTCCCCTTCCCTATTCCCTTTTCCCTTTCCTTTTCCCTTTCCCCTTCTTCTTCCCCTTCCCTTCCATTCCCTTCCCTTTCCTTCCTGGCTTTCTCTTCCCTCTACTGCAAGTTACCACCAAAGGTTTATATGAAGTCTCAGAAGACATTTTGGACTTGAATTTTGTAACAATATTATTGGAACTGTGCAGACTTTTCAGACCAACTAAATGTGAGATGACCTCAGGTCTTTGAAGAGATATGGTTTAAATTTAATATGCTCCCCACAGGATAGTTTGTGCTGTATTTGGTTACTAGATGGTGGCATTATTGTGGGGGATGGTGGAGACATGAGGAGTTGAGGCCTAGCTGGAGGAAGCTGGCGGCTGAGGGTGAGACTTTAAAAGATATCACCGGCTGTAGCCCTGAACTCTTTATTTTTCCTTCACTCTGCTATGAAATGAACAGCCTTTACTCCATGAATATAGCCTTTGCCCAAATGTTCCCATTGCTATAATTGGAGCTATCTTGTTACCAGTCCCAAAGCATATTGTCTAGTGATCAGGGACTGAGTCCTCTGATATTGTCAGCCCAAGTCCTTCCTCCCTTAAGTATTTTGTTATAGTGATAGAAAATCTAACACACTTTGTATTGTCAATTTTTTAAACTCTTGCTTTATCTAACAATTATTAGTAAACATCTTATAGAACGTAAGCTCTAGACCAAGTTCTAGTAACTCATGCCGGTAATTTTAACTACTCAAGAGGCTGAGAACCAGAGGATTGTAGTTCAAGGCCAGTTATGGCAGAAAAGTATGCTAGATTCCATTTCTAAAATAATCAGCACAAAGCAGGGCTGGGGGCATAAGTCAAGTGGTAGAGTGCCTGTCCAGCCAATGTGAATCTCTAGTACCTAAAACAACAAAATCATCAATAAAATGATTTAAAATTTGCTATTCTCTTGTCAAGTCTCATGAAGCCCTGGGTTTGATTCATCAGCACCACATAAGCAGAAAAAGCTGGAAGTGGTGTTGTGGCTCAAGTGGTAGAGTGCTGTACCCAGGCCCAGAGTTCAGGCCTCATGACTGGCAAAAAAAAAAAAAAATGCTTTCACAAAATGATGAAAAGGGAGTCTTAAATTTATAATTTATTTAACAATAGAAGAAAGGAATCAAAATTGACCTTAACATCAAAGTTATTTGCAATTTTACAAAATTTAGCAATATATATTTGGCTAATATATGTGGTAAAAAATGTGCCTGAGAAAAAGCAACCTCAATTTACTTTATTTCATATTTTATTGCTTTGCATTTATCCTTTTATTTTTTATCACCTACATAGATTCTGGATGCTTTGAATACTTCTTAATCATCTGGGTTTAACTTCATACTAAATGATAAATGATTGGCCATTCCTATGTTTCATGCAAACAAATAAGTTTATTGTTATTTTTAGCTAATAACATAAAATATGACATTACTTTTCATTTAAAGTTCCATTTTACATGAAGTTGAACAATAGATGTCACTGTTTTGCCAATAACATAACCATGGAATTATTTCATTTGATTAATTTTCTTCATAAACAACTCTTGATTTGCCTAGGTAAGGTTTAAAGTTCTGGTAGGGAAAAAATCTCAAATAGGAGATCTTTTAAGTATTAAAATTGGCTAGTTTTTTTTTCTCTAAGAAAAAATGTAGTATATGTAACCCATTATTTCCTAAGTAATTTTAAACATAACCAATCTAAAATAATTTCTTTTGTGCCTTCATATTTATGTTCTGGCAAGTACAAGGAAAGCTGTCATTATAAGAAGAAGTAGAATAAAATTATTTAAGGAATATGCACATGGCTAGAAAGGAGAATCCTGTCAGGAGTATGATTAATTGCATTTTGAATCTATGTAATGGCTAGTATGTTGACATGATTGACAGGTAATCTATAAAAAATGGAAATCGGGTAAAGAGAATGCAAGGAAGATGAGAGCTATGGAAAGAAATGCAACTGAGACTGGCTCTAAGCCATCCTCAATGATAGAGTGCATTCAGGCTGTATTCGAATTTGTATCAATTTTGAGTGAAGGAATCTGAATTGTTTTTCAAGGTGCTGGATTCCATTTGCTATGGCATTAGCAATAAGATGTCCTCAGAGAAGCAATGGAAACATGACTGTTTAGTGATGGTGCATTTCTTTAAACCTAGATTTCTTATTTAGGTAGTAAAGTTAGGTTAAGCTACAAACACTTTGCTTAGAACAAAAGTTCTCGTTTCCTTAAGCATTCCATAGATTGTCACACACTTCTCTAAAGCCCTGATATGGGTATGTGCTCCAGCAAGTATTTATGTTCAGCTATAAGCCGGATGCAACTGTAGGTGTTGAAGTTGCAGGGCAGGTGTCAGTAAGAATAGTATGTTTTTTTTTCCCCTCAGTATTTTCTTTTGGGAGAGGGTCCAGTCATGGGGCCTGAACTCTGGGCCTGGGCGCTGTCCCTTAGCTCTTCAGCTCAAGGCTAACGCTGTACCACTTGAGCCACAGCGCCACTTCTGGTTTTTTTCTTTTTGCTTATGTGGTGCTGAAGAATCGAACCCAGGGCCTCATGCATGCAAGGCAAGAACTCTACCACTGAGCCACCTTCCCAGCCCCCCCCCCACCACCTCAGTTTTTTAGTTCTTATGAAGAACAGGAAACATGCAGGAATATGTTAAAGTCTTCAATCTGCCTCTCATGCCTTTCCCTTTCTATTTCACAGTTTCTTGTATTTTTCGACATTAACTAACTTATCAGCTAAGAGAGAACAAGCCTTTCAGGAGAGAAGTGTTGGTTCAATATCTGTTTATGCCATGAAATCTCTTTCCTCTTCATTTCCTAAGATTGCACTTATTCAAGATTAGGAAGGAAATTCTTTGAATTAAAAAAAAAACTTGCATTTCATGAAAATGATGTGTTGAGGACTGTTAGCAGTTGTTTTCTTGGAGAGTGAAAAGAATTATATCAATACATTATAAATAGCAGATTTGAAGGTAACATTCAACACTCTCAAACAGACAAAAATGACAATTTTATCCTATTTTTTCTTTAGCAAAACATGCTAGAAATCATGTCTCTGCTATAGAATGACTTTTAAAACTTGTAATCAAATTGCAAGAACAAAAAAAAATCATTCATTCATTTAACCAGAATACAAATATTTATGTAGGGCTCTCATTATGCTTCATTATGTGGATGGTTAAAAATAGTTTTTCTAAATTAAAATTCACTGTAGTGTAAAGTCTCTATCACAAATTTATCCCGGGAAGGAAAGTTTGCCATTATGAAATACTATGCTCAGGTTTTTGTTGTTATTTTGTTTTTGTTTTTGTCTGTTTTGGGGCCTGTACTCTGGGCCTGGGCACTGTCCCTCAGCTCAAGGCTAGCACTCTACCACTTGACCCATAGCACTACTTTTGTTTTTTTCTGCTTATGTGGTGCTGAGGAATCGAACTCAGGGCCTCATGCATGCAAGGCAAGCGCTCTACCACTGAGCCACTTCCCAGCCCCTATGTTCAGTACTTTTAAAACAATTTTTGTAAGTTGTAAATTCCCTCAACAAATTAGAGTAAGCTTGCCCATTACAACAGTGGAGAAAATCTACTTTAATTAATAGATAGGCATAGTTTATAATTAGTATGTCAAGTTTTTGTGCATTAAATGGATATTTTTAAAGTACTAAAAGTATTTATTTTTTCTCAATTTAGGAGCTCTGACATTTCCCAATCATCTTGTTAAAGACTTAATTTACTTTACAATCCTCCTTTTTAACTTCAGGGCATACATGCAAATTGTCAACCATTCTCTTTTGGTGGAGTCCAATTAATTTATTTTCTGAGTCACTTTTATTTAAATCATATTTTAACTTTCTGATGTTCATATAAAATTTTCTCTATGCTTTTTCATATCCTTCTTAGGAATCTATGTACTCTCGAGAATGATTTTCAAATCAGTGGAAAGATTAATAGCCACTTGTCAAGGAAGAGTTGTAATTCAACCAAAGCATTTGGTTGCATGTAAGCAATGAATAAGAAGCTAGTGTGTTCTGCAGATATGCATATAGATAGATGGATAGATCTCTCTCTCCCTCCACACACACACACACACACACACACACACATTCATTCAACTTTCTGGAAGATTTTAAAGAAAATTCTCTCAATTCTAGGCTTTCACATATTGTCTAAAAAGCCCTCTCCCTCTTCCCAGAATTACCAGGTCTTAGAAGCTATTTGAATATATGCTGTAATGCAATAGTTAAACATTTATGAGTGGGTATCACTAAATTTACTCCTTGGACTATATTTTTCTTTGCTAACTGCACATAGAGTAAATTTGATTTTTATCTAAACTGACTTACTCTACAGATGGGATTTTGCAACTTAATTCCTACAGTTATTTTCAGTTAAGATATATAAACATTCCCCTCTCTCCGGTGGTAATAATGAATGTGTGTAGATGTTACCAAGGGGAGGCTGGGAGGAGGGGTAACTCAATTGTTGAGAGCCAATGTCCTACAGAATATAAATAAAGTACAAAATACAGAGGAAGAAGAAAGACCGTCGTTTTGACCAGTGTGTTTTAAGGTATTGTCAACTTTGTGGGGAGGATACTTATGTTTAGATACTTTGGACAGATTTCCCCCTAAGAGAGGTACTCACACTCACACTACTCATTACTTCCAATCCTGATCTCTTGTCATTGGCTACCCTCTACTTGGCTCCTCTTTTGGAGATCAGCTCGTAATCGTTTGAGTTTCTTTTGGATTTCAGCCAGGACGTCAATTTTCTGATCCAACATGGACAATGACTGGGTGATGCAGACATCCGGGTCCCGGTTGACTCCCATCGTTATCTCCTGTATGTTCTCCCACCATTGATCCGCCTCCTTCCATGTAGCTGCTGCGTCTTTCACGAGCGACGCGGATAACGCTGCGATGTGTTCGCTCTGTCTGTCCTGCTCCTTTTGCGCACAGGGCATTTTACCCACTCTGTCCCTCTGCAGGGCCATGCATGAATTCCTCACGGGCTTCTCTGACATCTGTGGTGGCTCAGGTCTCATGGCAGAGAGGCATCCATGACAGGGCCTCAGATCGAGAGCTAATTCTTTCACTCTGTTGGCGTACCTTAAAGTGTTGAGGGTGTTCTCACAGGAAGTCATCCCTGGCGAGATGGTAGCAATCATGCAAGTGGAAGAGTTGTGGCCTATGAAGGAATCCCGAAGTACCTGGGTGAGCTTGCTAGCTCTGAATGGGGTATGAGACTTATTCTGACCCAAAGCCCTGATACATTCTTTAAGGGCGAGGAGGCTCTTGTTGATCTCTGCCCCTTCCAGCTGCCTCTTGCGGTTGGCCTTGGCAGTATCCGCGCCCCTCTCATTCCCGGCTAAGTCGACCAGGGAGAACTTGCCGTGAAGTTTTCCCTTGGACCTCAGGATGATCTGGAACACGGCGTGGCTCCTGGAAGAGTGGGAATTAACCGATGTCTGCCCGGAAGTCCTGCAGCTGTTTCCCTGTTCCACGAGGGTCAGTAATTCCTCCACACAACACACCTCTCTCTCCTGCAGCCCGACCACTTGCATCTGCCGATGGCCATCCTCCAGAACCTGCAGCTTCTTCTTCCAGTTCAGCAAGTCGTACACTTTGCCTCCATAAATCTCAAAAAACGTCCCGTACACCCTGAGATCCAGCCTCTCGTACGTGGCGTTTTTAAGCAAAAGAAAGACATCCTGAGCCACCAAGGCATAAATGCCTTTGGAGCAATCTTGGAGACTCCCAGAAAAGGTTCCGCCCATGGTGTGCGTTTTCCCACTGCCAGTCTGTCCATAGGCGAAGCAGGTGGCCATACCCTTGCGGAAGATCGATTCCACCAGGGGCCGGGCAGTGAACTGGTACACTAACTCGTTGGAGGCTGTGTCATCAAAGGCATGGTCGAAACAGAAGGTCTGGTTCTCCAGGTAGCGGGTGAGATCCACCTTTTGCTTGGACTCATGCACCATGACCACATTATCTGAGGGAATGGTGATGATGTCCAGGTCCTTCATGTTGGTCTCTCGCTGGCTCAGGGGCCGCTTCCTCACGCACACACAGATCCGATGGACTTCGGGGGCTCCCGGGCTGCACACCTTGTGGCTGCCCAGTTGCTGGCGGTACTCTTCGATCATGCGCCTCGTCTCCCAGTTGGGGTTCCCGGTGTTGACGTCCATTTCGCGTCTCTCGCGGATCTCCAACTGCAGTCTCCGGCGCTTCTCCCGCTGCTTCTGCAGTTTCTCGATTTCCAGCAGGCAGGGAGACTTTCTCTGCTTCATCAGACACGGGTGGCTGGGGGACACCAAGGGCACACTGTCCCCGGAGGGAGTTTCCTTTATCTGGGGGATCATGGCAAGCCAAGGCCCCAAGGTGGTACACTGATCCCCGATGGCAGACGAGAGGAGCAAAGGATTGCTGGAGGTCCTTTGGTGCTCAGCAGACGCCAGATCTGGATTCAGGAGGAAGAGGGTCTCCAGGTCAATCTTCTTCCCTTTTTTGACTCCTTTCTCCACCCATTCTACCGTGACGCAAGAGTTTTTCTTGTTGATCTCGGTGACCACGGCATGGTGGATCCTCTTGTCGCTGCGCTGGATCGCTAGGGACATACCCGCCTGCAGGTCTTGGAAGTTCGAAGCCAAGGGTTTCAAGGGAGAGAAGCATGGGGCAAGAGGCGGGCAGAACTGGCTGGCCATAGTGAGTGATGGCGAAATCAGGGCTCGCTATCCGAGGTCCCTTGGCGTTGGAGCAGCAGGACCTGAGCCCAAGCCAGCCCTGGGGTCTCCCACAGTGCTTGAGCACTTGTGCCCTTTGTGCCTGCCCTGGTATGCTTAGCTTACCCCACACGTGTGCATGCGCACGCGCACACACACACACAGGTACGTCATAAAGGAATGGGGAGAAGAGGAGGGAAGAGTAGAAGGCCTCGTGTGAATCCACATTCATGTGGTTAGCGCGGGATAAGAAGGTAGTTAAAATAAAGACTGCCCTTGACAGTGATTGGAAATGGATTGGAGGAAGAGGAATTAAAGTGTTCTTGTGTTTGCTTTTGTTTGGGATCCTCTTGTCAAAATACAGAGGAGAGAGTTCAAAGGAAGTGTAGCATTTGAATGTGTATGCGTTGGGAATTGTGGGCCTGAATGTTGGGAAATACCCATGGTCACCACAGCCTCTCCTCCCTCTCTTTCTCCTCCCTCCCCACCCCTCTTCCCGCTCCCCAGTCTTGATCTATAATCTCCAAGCCTTAACATAAGAACTGCTATGAAGTTTCCTGAAGCATCCAAGATGAAAGGAGAGATGTCTGCAGAGGTCAGGTTTGGAATCTTGAAATGCAATAGGAGCAGGAGCCTGCTGTACTTTCTTATTCACCTCCAACCCACTCCGTCTTCAAATACTGTCTAATATCCTCCTTTAAGCTCATTCAACTTTAATGGACTTCCTCTTAACAAATTAGGTATGGCTTGAAGGCAGCAAGCTACCCTGAGCATTTACTAATAGGGAAGTTTGTTGTAGCATCTAGGTTTGCGAATACAAGATGCTTATCACACTGCAAGTGGTTCTGACAGCTATACACTGAGTTTTCTTGTACTACAGTCAGCAACATGTTTTGAGATTAGTTCAGTAATTATGTTCCTAACTCCTTCAGTAATTACACTTATGACTTCATTATCTTTAATTTGGAGAGAAAGGAGAGACATGACTATCTAGATAATCCATCATATACCACCTTCCCACACTAAAGGACATGTGTGTGTAGCAGTCATGTGTGTATATGTATGTGTGGGGAGGGGGTGGAAGGGTATGAAAGTAGCAAAGGTCAGATTATATATATATATATAGATAGATAGATATAGATAGATAGATATCTATATATCAATACAATGGCTTATTCTCTACAGGATGATTTGCTTTAGAAAATAAAAGACTTCCAGATAAACCTAGATAATGATGAAGGTATCTCACACTCTCCTGTGAGTTTGATTATGGTTGTGTTTTTAGTTCTGTAGTAACATTCCAGAGCATGGTGTTTTTTTCGGTTTTTCCTAGATCCAGTGGTCAATCTAATGGTAAATGCTTCTCCAGTAAATGGTAAGTATGCAGTTAAGTACTTATGCAGTATTCATTTGGGGACAGGGGGGAATATTAAATGCCAGTGAACAGAATTGGAGCAAACTGGCTTTAGACACTTGTCTCTGCATGATTATTTTTCATTGCCCTTATTATTACTATAATTGTCCTTTAAGTCAGTTGCTTTGTTATTCGTTCAAGGGCATTATTATGTGCATGTTGTCATTATAAATTATATCTTATTAAAAGTGTCTTGCTGCTTTAATAAGCAAGTCTAGCTTGCTTTTAATATTTATCTTTAAAAAAGCCAGGTCTATCTCCAAATTACACAAACTTTGGGTGTTCCTGGTTGTTCATGTGTTGTACAACTAGGCTAATGATCATTGTAGGTAGACAATAACTGAGTAGGTCGCATAAACATCAGACTACACATTCTCTTGAGTCATTCTTTTTCTCTCTCTAGCAGGTCTACAATGGTGTGTTTGTTTCCAGCAATTTCAGTGTACCTCTGTGTTCTTGGTGTACCCAGTTTCCCTAGGATAATCTCATTGGTTTCCATAATTGGACTAGCTAGCTAGCTAGTTAAATAACTGATCATCAGAATCCAGAGTTGTGAACATGTGGGAAGCCCTCAGGAAATTCAAACGCAACAACCCCCCTGAAGTGATTTATTTTCTTCATGAAAATACAGCTTCATAGGCATTTTTAATGCTCTTAATAAATTAACATCTACTCACTGCCACAGGTCTTCATCTTCTCACTCAGTCCATTATTACTTAACATCCTTTCTTAGCATCTCCAAGTCTTTTGTAACTGTGATGTCACTGGATCCCTCAGCCAATTATAACCTTGTTTTCTAGGGTTTCCTTATCCAACCGAACACTCAGTTACTTCTCAAATGGGCCCTAAAGTTATTTGAATAAGTACTTCATTAATTCCCAGCATATTAGTGTTTTGGTATCTGTCTGTCATTCCAACTGACACAGTATATATTCCATAGGAAGACTCATGTGACACATTGTCATCTTGCTTATCTAATTGTTGCATGGTCTAACTTGCGTCCAAGGGATGCTGGCATTACAAGTCCTGGAGCAATATTTTGAGAACTTTTGAACTTTTGCTTGAGGATAGGCTCCCCTCTTCCTCCTCATTTTCCTGAACTATTCTAACCTATTTAACATATCAATACCCTACAACAAGTTTCCCTGAATACATTGATAATAGCAATATCCAGATAAAATAGCAATACACTAAAATGATGTGTGAAGAAATAGAAACTACTACTGGTTCAGTGGGGCTGGACAAGACAACCAAAAACCTAAATTTTGATAGTGTATAATGATAACTGAAACTCACTGGTGACTAGAACAGTCATCTGTATGTAGAGAGGTGTTCAGATGCCTTCCTGATTTTAACAGTCTGGAATTATTATTTTATATTATTATCCTTCAGTGGTTGTTCAAATGGGTTTCAATTCTACATGTCACTTTGTCACTGCAATGTATCTTCATCTCTTCCAAACCACACGTCTCCTAACCACACCTATCCCCTGCATGATACATGCAAAACATTATTTGCAACAACATTTTTCATATTGCTTCATATAAAATTATGAACTGAGAAGCCATCTTTATGACTCTCTTATTTAATGGAATTAATTCTGAGTGTAATTTTATCTAAAAGAACCCAACTTTTTAAATATTTATGCCCACATAAACTAAAGGTAGCACCTTTGTCCATGAGCTGGATAAGCATTTGCTAGGTAAGCAATTTATCCAAATTAGAGACCAAGATCACCTTGAATACATTTGACTGAATTGAACCAAGCACTGAAAATATATGAAATATTTCCATGTACTAATGTGTATATCAAAGGATTTCTGCTCTCACGGAGCTTCCTCTTCATTCATCTTCTATCTGTTATGAAATCCATACTTTGACCAACAACTGAGCATTAAATTTATTCATTTAAAATGTGTCCTCTTCCACACACTTGAAAAATTCCGGTTGTAGGTCCACAAGAGAGGATAGTGTAGGTAGATGTACATTCAGGAAATGAGAGTAGTAAGTTTCATTGATTAATTACACAAGTATTCCCAGTGTGATGCTTGTCAAAGATGCTTTATATGAAAGAATATAATTTCTGTCCTCATTTAAGGTGCAAATCTCCCAGGAGAAATTTATCCACTGTGTGAGTTTTTTTAAGCATGGTTTTAATGGATATCTAACAGATGTTGGGTCTGTTTGATCACCTTGGGGGGTCGAGGATACAGGATGCAACCTGAAGTTCATTTTGTTCTTCAGAGAAGTTCAGTTCACTTCCCCAAATCGGTCTGAATAAATGGAAGCACATCTTTTTTCATTGTTTAAATGTATTAAATTTATGCCTTTAGAATAAAGGAGAACACAGATTTTAGAGTGAGAATAATATTTTATTTCCATGGTTAATATTTCTGTCATTAGATATCTAACGTTCAACATGTCCAGGTATCTATCTATCAATCTATTTCAGTTTTCTCATTGATTTAATAGGTAAGAATTATTCCCATGAAAATAAACTTAAGTCAGAGCCATTGCAATCTCCAAGCTTATTAAATAGAGTTACCTGCAAATGCCCATCAGATTTCTATTTGACAATAGTAGGAAATAACGATTAAGTGAACCACTAACAATTATCCATGTATCCCTTTATGCTCATTTTTGTTGGTCATTTTTTAGCTTTCAATTTTATTTAGCACATTGAGGGGAAAGGACTGGGTTTTATTGACATTCTACATTATTTGCTTGCAACTCAAACTTCAGAAATCATGTTATGTAAGTACTTTTGGATGTTGCTGTCCAACTTGAAGACAGTATTCCTTGCCCTCAGAGAGTCTAGTTTATATTATAATCCAGGGTCTTTAGTATGTTGTGGAATGAAATCAATAAAGAAGAATTCCCAGGAAGGTATTATGAAAATGTCATCTTTTTTCTAAAGTTTGAGAGATGGATGTTTGTATACTTAGAAAGTTAACCTATGGAACAGGAACATAATTTAGTCTCATTTTTCTGATTGTGTATATTGAAGAGCCTAGTCATTAGGCCATCTGGACCAATCTCACTAGTACTTTGCTTGGAGAGTATTCAGTAATATTCATCACTACTTTTACTCCACCTCAGACATAATTAGATTAGTTGCCTCCCACTCAGTATGAACATCCTTTCCATACTTGATTTTGACATTGCACTTGCCATTTTGGTCTAAAAACATCTGCATATTTTTCTCCCTTTTCTTGAGGGAAGGGAAGAGGATGACTTTCTGCATTTGTATTTCTAGTATCTGGCAGGCAGACTTTTCTTTATATAGTTCCAGGACACTATCTTTCCTGGAACTATAAAACTTGGGACAACTCTCTCCACTTCTCTTCAATCTAGTATTACAATGCCTAGTACATCAATAAGACAAGGTGCAAACATAAAGGGGATCCAAACAGGGAAAGAGGAAGTAAAACTCTCCCTCTTTGCAGATGACATGATCTTGTATTTAAAGAATCTCACAGACTCCACTCCCAAATTAATCAAGCTGACTCAAAACTTTGGCAAAGTAGCAGGGTATAAAATTAACCCTCAAAAATCAATGGCTTTTCTG